TTCTTTCTCCTTAATTGTAGTTCCCTTCCCTTATTTTCTTTGTAGTTTGTAGTCCAATTAAAAAAGCAATAAAAAATCCCCTCCGGGGGCCCCCCAAAAATTAATCTTGATCTTGAAGACTTCTGCTTACCTGCATTTTAACATACTCTTAAATATTTGTTAGCTTATCAGTGTAGCAGCTGCTAATTTCCCAAATCTCCCAAAGCTTTTTTTTAAAAGAATGGCATAACACTTTGTGTTTTCCTCAAGCATCATTTATTTAATAAAAATAATCCCTATACATATTATCTATTTCAGTAGTCTCTCAACCATATCATGGAAATTTTGGAAAACAAGAAATAACCTGTGCCTTGGTTGTATCAAAAAAAGGTCAATAAGCCAAGTTAGTTCAGACCCCTCAATGGATATGTCAATACTACAGATTTCAACTAACACACAAGCAATTGCCTTTCCCCAGCAAACTGGGGAGGGGAAGAATGTCTGACAGAGAATTCTCAACATCCTTTGGAAACTATAATTCCCAGGAGGCTTTGAAGGGAAGCCGTTGCTGTTAAACTGATATAAAACTGCTTGAAGATTGTAGTGTAGATGAAGGAAGGAAGGAAGGAAGGAAGGAAGGAAGGAAGGAAGGAAGGAAGAGTACATACGTAACTAAGGCATTTGATTTAGTTGGTATTGTCTCACAGCACTGCTTGTTCTTTTCAGTATCACCTCCTGTCCGCATACAACTTATTTTTAGATTTTACATTATTTTGGTCTTTAGGGGGAAAAGGCAGAATAGCAATTCCCCCTCCATAAATAAGTTAAAAATATTAAATAGAACTTAATGGAGTGTATTATGAAGGAGAATAACTCTGTGTTTTGGCAAATGATATGACAAAGTGGATCAAGCTTTTTAATGTGGCAGAGCTATAAAATGATATAAGAGCCACTGGTGAAAATCCTGCTCAAAACGGTGTTAAGTGATACAAATAAAAATCTGTCTACTTAGAATGAACCAAAAGGAAAGGGTGTGTTTGAGTCCCATTGAAAATCAACTGAGGGATGTAAGTGTAGGCTGGGTTTATTTTTCTCTTATTTGTACCATATGAGTTCATCATCTAGCAATAACTAGTTGTAATCACTAACTACTGAATGTTCTGTCTTTTAGAAATTGGGCCTTTTCAGGTCAAAAACATCTAAACCTGAAAGCATTTTTTCACCAGTTGTTGGATCTGTTTGTATCTTTCTGACAGAAATCAACTTTGGCCCCGGTCACACGGGAGGATTTGCCCCGCAAGAGGGACGGATCGGGGGCGCATCAAACAGGCGCAATCACACCGCAACATCTGGGAAGCATCACGCACACGTCCCCGAAAATGCGCATTTAAAAGGTACTAGCAACAGAGCACTACCTTCCGGATGATGCGCAGCAACTCCAGGCATCTGGTCGGGGAAGCGCTGGTAGCCTGTCGCAGCCAGCACCGTCCCCCGTCCCATGTATGCGCACAACCACGCTACTGCCGGTTTGCTGCACAACGTGTGATCGGTTCCGGAGCACGGAGCTGTGGGGGCACGTCGGATTGCGCTCCCACGGTTCTTTTTGCTCCGGCTCTAATTTGCCTCCCTTCGGCAGCGGATCACCCCGCTCATGTGACTGGGACCATTGGCTACCATTGGTTCAAATTACTATTTCCAGTAAAGCACATGAATATAATTGCATAGCAGTTTCTTCTGTCTTTTTTAAAACCAGTTTCTGAAATCCTTGTGAAAAGAGTGTGGAGAATGAATTCTATAGAATGGAGAATGACTGGGTGTTTTACATTCAAATTAGTGGGAAAAACTAATTTCTCTGTGCTTAGTAGTTTAATAAAGCCAAAAACATGGTATTCCACTTGACTCTTGCCAGCAGCTTCAGTAGGTGCAATAGCTGTTTTGGTTAGTGGAATTTATAGTCAGGAAGCCAAGTAGATCTCTATGCACACATGAATGCATACTCAGCACATGCTTTCTTCCTTCAATGGAGAATAGCAGATGCTTCAAAATCACAGGGCAGATGTGGAAATGCAGACATTCCTTGCAAAAAGACCTTTCTTTTGCTTTCTCTGTGGGGGGGCATAGCTATGTTATAAATAAACAGAAGAACTGGAGATAAGGAACATGGAGCTCCCTTGGATTAAAGGTATGTCTTCTCATAAAACAAGTCATCATGCTCTGATGGATTGCTGGCATTGGTATCTCTTTATCCTGGCAAAAGGCAGGGAAAGATGGGGCTTATAAAGCAAAGATACTGTTATAAGAGCAGGGCTTTCAACTATGAGCTGCCTACCTAGAAGTCTTTGTGTAATTCTCTACACACAGACACATTAGCTTTGTGCTCCATACAGTGAAAGAGAATCACTACTGTGCTTCCATTCTTTATGAGCTCAATAGGCACATACATTTGTATGTTCTAGCTGATTGCTTGGCCCACCACCTAGTTTCCTCTATGATTCCATCAGAATCAAATATAACATTTCCCCACAAACAATCTATATAGCATTCACTCAATGCATCGATTTCCTAAAACGGCAGCTGTTTGCTTTAGTACTAAATTATCCCAATTTAAATTCTGTAGGGGGGAATACTAATGGATCCAGGACTATAGCATGGCTGCACTCACATTAATTCCTGATGTGATAAATTCGTCACAAGTTAATTTTCCCTCTTCAGTTTTGCAGGGAGAACATCTTATATTATAATGTGTTTCGGCGGTTTGTGAAAGTTGGTAGTAACGAAGCTTCTGGCTGCCTGTAGTGGATCTGAGCTGAGCCGACAAAGGGCCAGGGGCACGCAGCGAAGCCTGGGGGGGCAACAGTCACAGATGTCTACGGAGAGGAGCAGGCAGGGGCTTGAGCAGACTAAGAGAAGGAGGGAGGCCTGGAAAATAAGGATGGGAAATCCTGAAGAATGAAGGGATGAGGAGAAGGTTAAGAAGACTGGCCTGATAAGAGAATTAAAACTAGGAGAGACAGACTGGTGAGAGAGAGAAAGAAGCGTCTGGTGACTCCTGCTCAGTGTGGAGGAGGGCTGAACTTCTCGTTGTTTTAAAGAGCCAGCCAAAGGCCTCTAATGTTACTTGAACATATCCTCACATAGGTGAGAAGCCTAACTGATTAGGGAGAACTTTCATTTTTCATTACATGTTATGTTATGGTCTAGACTGTGAACATATGAGAAAGCATACAGATGTTCAAGTGCACAACTTAATGGGAGCAACTTCAACACATCGAAATTGATGCAGCACTCAGGCACTTGTGAAAATCTGTTCTCATCATGGCCCCTTCAGAGTGGCAGTGTTGTTACCTGCACTGACCTCAGGACCAGATTTTCCACACAGAGGAGGCCATGTTAAAGCTCACCCACATGCTGAACTTGCAGTGACTGCCCCAAAAACCAATCAGTGCTGCATTCCATATGTGGCTTCATCCAGGAGGCACCCCAAGACAGTACAAAAAGCGGCTCCTGCTCCCAAAGAGGCCCTGAGTGACCACTGAACTGAATAGCTCCATTTATTTAACATAGCTTAGCACCCACCTCCTTTGTTCTCTGTGTGCTAATAAGTCCACTACAGCCTCTCTCTTTTTTTTGCCCCTCCACTGCTCTAGCAAAGTGAGAAGAAAACAGCCCAGGGAAATGGAGATTCTCAGTTTTATGCATCACGTAAGTTTCTAGTTCTTATGATTGTGGAGAAAATTGGCCTGCAGTGCACTAGAAAGCAATTTACATATGTAAATGCTGTGAAGTTGCAACCATCTTATGGCAAAAAGCAAATTAAAGGGCTCTAATATTTTTAAAAAATGTATTGGGCACAATTCAGCCAACACACTTACAAATCACAGTTTTCAATGGGAGAGTGGTGCTGAATTGGTGCTTAACTTTCCCATTGAAATCAATGAAACTTGAATGTCTGCTGCTGGATTGTACTTTTGGAGAGCTAAGGCACAGTGTGTAAACATCTGGCACGGATGCTTGAAATCATTACTACTGGGTTTTTCATGCCCACACCTTTCACTGCACCTTTGCATCCCTAATTGTTAGTGGCTCTTGAAGCACAGGGTTAATGCCTTGCCACAAATCAGTTCTAGCTTGCAGGTTACACTGCCCACTTCCAAGGCATGCAGAAGACTGCAGGACAGCAGGAGAAATGAAACAAGACCCAAAGTGTCATAACCAGGCCCATAGCTACAGTGGGGCATTTCGGGGCTCCACCCCCTCAAACATGAGGCACACTCCACAACAGCTGCTGTCCCTTCTCCCCTCCCTCCCCTCCTGTGACATTAAAAGGGCCCTCCAGCCGATCAGTGGAGCATGTGGCTCGCCAGTCAGCTGGAAGGCCCTTTAAATCTTGCAGCTGCCCCTCTCCCTCACCTCCTCCAAGATTTAAAGAGCCCTCCAGCTGATCAGCGGGCCCTTTAAATGTTGCAGGAGGTGAAGGAGTGGGCCCCTGCTGCCCCACAAAATTTCCCCATGCTCCACCAACCCAAAATTTCTGGCTATCTCATTGTGAAAAATCTATCTGGTCCATCTAGAACTTCTGGATGCTATCATGAAGTGTCAAAATCACTCTGTACATTTTGCATTTCTCTGCTCTGACCTGGGTCACTTTCTTCTTCCCTTTGTTTTGAGAGAGGCCTCATGTCAAAGACGTTTTGGTCTCAGCAATGGCTATTAAATTGCCTTTTCACTTCATACACACGGCATTGCCTTGTCTTCATTCAATGCCTGGGAAGCTAGAGATTTTCATTCCCATTTAAAAGTACTGTTCCCTGCATTTGATTCTAGGATGTTAATGAAAGTCACAATTTCCAAAGCCAGGAAGGTTAAAAAGAAAAGCTGTTAAAGAGAACCAAACTGCAAACACCTTATGCTACTGCTGGTCCCATCTTATCATTCTGGCTCCCTCATACAAAGCTACAAAATAACCTCCCTGCATTAAACCACTGTCTCTTCTAATACCTTTATTACTCAGGAGACGATTGCCTCTACTCCATTGTCTCTGATTGGTCAGCCATAGGCTCAAGCATGATGCGACTGTGTAAAGCCTATTCTCTGGATAATATACCCATTGACTATTATATAGGAGAGGGGAAAAGAAGTAAATATCTACAAGCAAACCCAAGTTTGAAATAAAATTAGTTATTAAATAACATAAAGTGCATCATGGCTGGCCACATGCCCACAGTATAGGTGGGGGGAGTTAGATATAAAAATAAAAGCATCGGTGCTTTGCTGTAGGTATTCTGTCTTTGGCACGGAGGATGCGCTTTGGGGGAGACTGCTGCCAAAGCTGAACAGACAATTTCAGGACACAACGGGCTCCCAAATAAGCAAATGTTGCCTGCCGTGGATGGTGTTCATGGGAAGAGGGAAAGCCTGGTATGGAAGGATGGTGTCAGAGGGAGAGATTTTGCTCTTCTGTTTTGTAACCAGCTCTGCATTATACATTGTCCTAGAAAACAAACAAAACTCAAATCAATTTAAAAAATCAACATATCAGGGACCACTGACTGCCACAAACAAAACCTGCTTCAAAACACTCAGCGTTATCATGGACCACTGAGCAATAAATTAAAACGGCCAGGGAGTTCTACTGCAAGCTGCTGCCCAGCTAGGATCCCATCTGACATAATTCAGTGCAGATGCTTATCATGTAGTAGTTCTTGATGTTGTGATGGGCACACTGTAAATGTCCAATAATAGAAGGAGGCAGAATCCTGCACTGTGGCTCCCCCAAGTCAATTACTTGGCAAATGCTGATAGGAAGAGTGGGTCATGAGAGACTTGGTTTATATGCTTGCTTGCAGGAGCCTGTGATCCTATCTTTAACACCCAAGGACCTCTGGGAACTGCTGTGGACTAGTGGACAGAATGTTAACCTTGAATCTAAATGTAGATCTATCCACCCACTGAGTGACCTTGGGCATATCACTTTTTCTTGTTCCCAGTTCTCTGTCTGCACAGACCCAACTCCAAGGACATTATAGAGTTCTGATGCTCCTCTGCAGAGGAGATGTGTGTATCTGTGCATGTCATAAAGGGAGTGGGACAAGCATCTTTCTACTAGGCTCTCTTTTGACTATCACAGCAGCAGCAGGACCTGCATTTTTGTTCATGGCAAGTTTTTACCCTGTATTTCCTCCTTTTTAGACAGGGATTCTTTATTTTAATGTGTTTAGCTTCGTTAAGTATTGCTTGTGTGCTTTACAGTCAGCATTTTCCTTGACCCCGTAGTGCAGTAGATATCTTTTTTTTAAAGTGTTGTAATTGTCTGGTTAGAACGGATAAAAGGAAGTACTTCTTCACCCAAAGAGTTAGTAACACTTGGAATTCACTGCCACAGGAAGTGGTGGCGGCTACAAGCATGGACGGCTTCAAGAGGGAATTAGATAAGCATATGGAGCAGAGGTCCATCGGTGGCTATTAGCCACAAGGTATAGATAGGGGCTCTGGGGCAAGTGATGCTCTGTCTTCTTGGTGCTTGGGGGTGGGGGGTCAACAGTGGGAGGGCTTCTAATGTCCTGGCCCCACTGGTGGACCTCCTGATGGCACCTAGTATTTTTGGCCACTGTGTGACAGGGAGTGTTGGACTGGATGGGCCTTTGGCCTGATCCAACATTGGCGTCTCTTATGTTCTTATGTCTGGGGAAGTCTGTACCATGGATGGGCATGACCATTGCATAATCTGTGGGGGGCAGGAGCATATGTTTAGACACACATTTGTACTGGCTAAAATTCACCAAACACACTGTGATTGCTCTTAGTTTTTGCACATATTTGAAAGTAAAACCATTCCTAGCCAACATGATGGATCAGCCCAAGGAGTTCTATACAGTGACTATGGTGAAAAATGTTGGCTCAGTATTGGCCCTTCCAACTACTTTAGTGAGCACCAACAGAGATTCTGGTGTGCTTTCTCTCTCTCTCTCACGCACACACAGATACTTCTTGTCCCCATATCCGTTCCAGATGCCAGGTCTACTTCCAGTGTTCAGTTACTAAGCTCAAGTCAATGGCAGAATGACTGAGACTGTGCATGGCCCTCTGTCTAATCAGCTACGATTGACCCACAACATGCTCTTAATTCCATCCTTGTAATTACCTCATTATCTAATCATACTTTCCCATGTGGTCTTGTACTGGGCTTTTTTGCTGTTAGGGTCCTAAGCATGCCTCAAATCAACTGAAACTATCAATACCTTCTCCAGATGGTGAGTTGACTGACATTTTGCTAAGTGTAAAAATAATTGCCTGCCTCAATCACAGCCAGTTCCTTCAGGCTCATATAAATAGTTTGAAACAACTTCACCATTTCCATTGAAAACCTTCAGATCATAGTGTTGCTTCAGGGCCAAACTAGACAAGAAACTGAAATTGAAATAAATGGGAGGGGGGGGCCTTACCTCCAAACTAGACAAAACGCCGGAGTCCCATAATTGGAATAAATGTAAAAAAGGGGGAGGGGGGAAATGTTACCTCTACCCCCTCTTTACCTTGGTCCCAATCCTTCCCCCACCCACGGCTGTGTCTTGTCTAGTTTGGAGAAACAAAGAGACAAGTCATGGTACGATTGCCAGCTATGGATTGAGAAATACCTGGAGGTTTTGCGGGAGGAGGGGAACGGGAGGGACCTCAGTAGGATAAAATGCCACAGAGTCTGTCCTCTAATGCAGCCATTTTCTCCAGGGGAGCTGATCTCTGTTGCCTGGAGATCAGTTGTAATTCTGTGAAATCTCCAGGCCCCACCTGGAAGCTGGCAAACCTAGGTCATGGACTCCTGCTCAGAGGGTGAAATGATCAGCTAAGTGAGTTGTATAACGTGCTCTCCTCCCCCACTACTGGTGTCTCTCAGGAATGGCATTTGTTCCATAGTGGTTATGAGGGAACAGAGCAGGAAGCTTGTTTACTTTTTTTTTTTTAAAGACATAAGGAGATAGTGAAAAACAGTTCCCCTGGAGAAAATGGATGCTTTGGAGAGTGGTCTCTCTGGCACTGCACCCCACTGAGGTCCCTGTCGTCTCCAGATTTCATCCCCAAATCTCCAGGAGTTTCCCAACCCTTGAGCTGGCAGCTCTCTGCCCCCCATTCCCCACTAGTGGCAACACTTCCCTGACTAGGCTGCTAGAATGTTCTTTTGGTAAGGCAGTCGGACTGCATGGTCACTCAGAGAAGGTCAGTTACCACTTAGTATTATTTTTCCTTAATCTTTGTTATCCTGTGAAATTATAAAATTATATTCTATAATTAATTAATTTATAATTATAGAATATAATAAAGTATACAAGCTATTTTACTGATCAGCACTGAACAATAGGCCGTACATTAAAGTGGATGAATAATAATTTATTTCAAAATGTTAAGCAAATGCTGGTTTTCAAAGGCTTCTTGGACTGGAACACAAGCTCTTCTCTGTTCTGTGTGGGCTGGGGGCTGCAAGAACCTCCTGATCTGATGTCTATTGATCTGAAATTGGAGAGAGATTCCCCTCCCCCCCCTTTCTTTTCTGGCTGCTACAGGCCTTTTCGGAACTGCTGAATTAGCCTTTTCAGACTTCTATATTTAAATACATGGCTCTGCATCTTGTTGACAGGTTTTTAATGCTCAGTAAGTACAAAGATAACCTGCAGTGTGGGAAGACCACAAGAATGGAAATAAAGGCCTCGAGAGTGGGAAGAATGTGATCCCTCTGAAAGACTAGAAGGGAGCATTTATTAATGTAGGCAAAAACTAAGATGCCAACAGCACTGCCTACAATGTGTTTTATAGACAAGAGGATTTCTAGTAGCTGCTTACAGAAGCGGCCATCTCTGTTCTTTTACTCCTTTTAGACCACAACTGAAATAGTATCTATGGCTAATCTAGAGGGCACCAGAGATCTCCTGTAATCTTTAATGTCATTCAAAAGCAGCTTCAGACCAACAAGGCTGACCACCTGGAACTATATTCAAAAGCAGCCACAGTGGAGATATTTGAATTGGGGGTCAGAAGAGGGGAAGCATCAGAAGATCCAGTCACACATTTCACTCATCTCATCTAGTGAAGCCCTAGTGTGGGTAACTAAACATAATATATTCAGCCCATCAGCCTCGTTTCTTCCTTTCCCATTCTCTTTCCCTTCCCTCTGTTATCTTCCTCACTAATCAAGTGTAGATTGTATAGCTCCTTATGTCCACCACTCTTCTAAATATCAAATACTTTGAGATGCTATATAATAACAACAACAATCTTTTTGCTATCCAGGGAATGGGATTTGTGCCTCTTTCTTCTTAAACCAGAAAGATTTTCACACACTTATGTCTGGTTAGAGGCCTTATGTGATTATGGAGAGTTTCTTTTTCACATCCTAGTGAAATAACATATATCTTCTTACTGGTGTGCTTTTTTCCTGCTTCTAATATAGTGTTGCATGATGAGCTCCATGGAAAGCTGACACCTTCACATGCCCTAAGATAGGGTGGGGAACCAGAATGGTATAGGGGTTAGAAGAGCGATGGCTCATCATATGACTGCCCCACCCCGAGTGGCCCTGAAGGAGAGGTAAAGGCAGCAGCTCTCATATAAGGAGGGGCCATGGCTCAGTGGCAGAGCATCTGTTTGGCATGCAGAAGGTCTAAGGATCAATCCCCGGCATGTCCATTTAAAGGATGTGGTACTAGGTGATGTGAAAGACCTCTGCCTCAGACCTTGAAGAGCCACTGCCAGTCTGAGTAGGCAATACTGATTGATTCAGTATATGGCAGCTTCATATGCTCACATATTGGAGATAAGCAGTAACAGAGCTACCAGGGCCACAGTGCAGCACTGTGCAGGTGCACTGCTTCTAAGTGGCTAGTGGAATCCAGCAACCGCAAGAGACATTATCACTCCATGCTCATACCAGGTTCAACTAGCCACTACATTATGCTCTTACTAGGGATACCAGCCTGCATCCATGCTCCCTAGGAGCTGTTTAGAGGAGGGGCCTGACAGGGGAATGTTTGACATCTGGGTCTTCACCCAGAAGTGACATCACTACCTATGACGTTCTAGGGATTTCCCCCCCCCCCCAAGACTCTACGGTAAATAACATGGAGATTGGGTTAATTCCCAGAGCATCACAGGGGGGCAGTGACATGACTTCCAGGTGAAGATAACAGTGTTGTTTTCCACCATTTTCCTTCTGCTGCTTGCAGGAGTGAGGGTTGGCAATGGAGGGCAGGGACAGGTACCTGAGTATCCTAACACCTACAGATTGCTGCAGCCATGGCCTCAGCAACTCTGTCACAACATCCCAATGCCCTCAGCTGTTTTGAGTCTCCATCGGGAAGAAAGGTGGGGTATAAATGAAGCAAATAAATAAATATAACCAAAAGGCAAGATCATCATGAGTGTGAAGTTGTTAACTTGCACACTGTTTAACAAAAGTCACAGCATCCAGATTTTCTCGGGAAAGTGGGTGATCTTTAAAACAAT